CCCTTTAAACGTTCACAAAGGCACGCTTACTTTATCCAAGGGGAAAATTCGAAAAGTTTACGACTATTAAACAATGCCTACGTTCTTAAAATTAACAGAGGGCAATTACTCGATTTAACATGAATTTCTTGTAAAATGTGCTTTCATCTTTGCTCCGCCTCACCAGAATGCATTGTGAGAGGGTGTGCATGCACCATGAAGAGTCAAGCTTTACCTGCATGCCCCCCCCCCCCCCCCCCAGCCTCCTCCTCCCTTCCCCGGAAGCGAACGACTCCATTTTGAAACAATGTACAAGAATCGGAAATTATCTCAATTCGTGCGGGGGGTCGATGCATGTGTCATCTCGCACAGTTGAGGGCGAAGCACTTTTTAGGGGTTCAGTTTTTGTTAAATAGATTTAATCGTATCTTTATATTGTCTGGTGTCGAATCAGAAACCAATACGTGCATACAGTAATCAATACAAACCTTTAAGTGGATCAGATCATGACAATTAAACCTCGTCAAAATTGTTTCCAGGACTCTGCCATGAAGAAATTAATTTATTTTGTTCTTATTGTACAAACAGCAGAACAAGAAATGTTTTTTCTTCTCTCTCTCTTTCTCTCTCTCTCTCTCTCTCTCTCTCTCTCTCTCTCTCCCACCTTTTTCTTCTTTCTTTATAGCTTTATAGCTTTCCATCTTTCTTCCCTTCCTTCATTCTTTCTCTCTTTGACTCTTTTACCATTAATTTCATGTTCAGCACGTTTGCAAATATACCCCAGACAGCAGATGCCCGACACAGTTTGGCATGAAAGTTTATATGAACCTGGGCCCCGTCTTATTAATAGATGATATTAATCGCAACTTATCTGTGATTGATATCAATCGCGGCTACGTACATTAGAGATAGTGGACTAAACAATTGCGATTGATTGGAGGACTTGCGATTGATTTGGATCAGTCCCAACTCTTTATAAGACGGGGCCCTTGTATAACATCAATATACATTATCACAACTTCACTCATTCCTGCAAACCTTCCGCTTAAAGAAGATAGACATGTTTGTTTTCTGTTTAATGTATATATAGAATATACATTACTCTAAGACATCTATTCAAGTGACTCCTGATGGGAATGAGTGGATGTGTATGTAAATGGGAGTAGAAGTATATTTCCTTTGAGGTGTATGTAAACTTTCGGGCCCAACTGTATACCTAGGGTATAGCCCATCGTAAGGATAAGTAGTTTATATTTTACATTGCTCATGCATTTTTAAAGGGAAAAGAGGTTAAAGAGAAGGTTGAGTTCTGGGAAGAGGTGAAAAATAATTTGTGAGCGTTATCATTATTATTATGCAAGTGTGGACGAACATCAGATAAGACATGTTCCCTGAAAACCATGGCTCTTCAAATGCCTTCATATTCTAAATATGTCATGTTGCATCGTAAAACTCGGGGGTAGGATTTTTACGCCACGTGTTTTTGTAGTCCCATACACATCTTTCTATGTACAGTGTGTGTAACTTTACCAAGACTTGGCCAAATTTCTTATCATTTTTATATCATTCTTATATGCTAGATGATCAACCTTTTCTGGTCGATTCCACATCGTTTCTTTCACAATGCAATCGCATGACCAGAACTCAACTTCATCTTTAAGGGGCGATACACTTATCACGGGTAGTCTGCATGTCACACCTGGATAAGCTCTCCTGCTTGTATGAGCTACGCCCCGTGACAATCTCGCATTACTTGTCGGATATCCGAGTAGGGCTATATTTAGACGGATACGGGTTGATGAGGGTACTTTCAGCAGTATGCATCGCGGGTATTTTTCATATCAAGCAGATGAAATGGAAATTTAAAGAGAGAGAGAGAGAGAGAGAGAGAGAGAGAGAGAGAGAGAGAGAGAGAGAGAGAAGAGAGAAAGGGTTTTAAATTGAGAGATGGAGAGAGAGAGAGAGGGTTTTAAATGGTTTAAAATGAAGAGATGGAGAGAGAGAGATATATATAGAGAGAGAGAGAGAAAAAAAGAGAGAGAGAGAGAAAGAGAGAGAGAGAGAGAGAAAGAGAGACATTTCCTATTCTGTATTTTGTACATAATCATACATTTAAAAAAAATACATTGTCACTATTGGTTGTTTTTTTCGAGGCACAATTATCATCATCCATATTTCATATCCATATTTTAGAGAGATGAAAAGGAGGGAAAGAGGGTGGTGGAGATGGGGGAGATAATATTGGTGAAAATGTGAGAGGAATGGAAGGAAGAGAGACAGAGATAGAGAGAGAGAGAGAGAGAGAGAGAGAGAGAGAGAGAGAGAGAGAGGAGAAGATGTGCGAAGCGTTCAGAGATTCTGTGTGTCAACACGTGTACTTTTTGGAAACAGAAGAGAAAAAAAAAAAAAAAAAAAAAATCAGATTTAGATCTAAATTGAGTCAGGGGCTTAGATTCAATCTATAGACCTGACTCAATGTTATGACATTTGACATTGATCTTTTCTAGGATTATAATACAAACCAGTGTGACCAAATTCAGCAGGGATAAATCAGGTTCCAAGACATGTTTCTTCAAAAATAATTTAAGCTTGCTTTGATACAGGTGATGATGAGACTTATTTTGTTAAAGCTTGCTTCACAATGTTGCATCTTATTTAACAGCAATAATAACAATACTTTAAAGAGGAGAGAAGATAAAGACATGATATGTTTTTTTCATTGTTTACGGCACTCCCGCTGCAACCGTTTGCTGTTTAGAGAAGTTGCCAGCTGTAAATTACATTCACTGTATGTATTCGAATACGAAAACATATTGGAAAATATAGTTTACTTCAATCATGCTCGAAATTCTCAAAAAATAATCAAAGACCACGCGTAATCTTTTTTTTAGGCAGTACAATGGATTGCAACTAATGTGATTTTAAAGTAAAGCGTTGTTTAGCAATGTACTTTATAGGATTTAAAAAAAGTGTCTAGGCAAGTCAAAGCTGCACATTTTGAACTGGTTTTCAATACGTATTTCCAAAAGTTAGACAGTTATGATCATGATAAAACATAAAGTGACTTTCAGGTCATGCTTCAATCAACGTTCACTGCTGCCTATAAAATTAGCGTAATCTTGTTATATCTCTGTTGATGTGATTGTGAGAGTAGAATTTATTCGTGATGGACAAGTCTATATCTTGTTTAAACTTCATTTATTAATCTAAAGGTCATACATATTGATCAGTAAAGTTCTGATAAATTAAAGGAAACCTTTGAAAAATAAGATGTATTCCTGTCCTTTGATGTACGATATTCCTCACAACAGTGTAAAAGAGATATATAAATGCCTTCTAGCATGACATGGGCGCGCCCATTTTCTTGAAAATGTGACGTATACGAGGTGAACTTGTACATGTTTCATGCACCAATCTTTAGTTGGAAAGAATTTTTAATTCAATAAAAAAGCCTTTACTTTTCAATGAGGGAAAATCAGAGCTGAGAAGATAAAAATTATATTTGATGAAAAAATAAATAACAGGGAACACATATCTATTTCATTTATGCTATTAGAACATTTAGCCCAGAAGAGCACCAACCACTTTATGTAATTTGCGTTCTAATAATTGTAGTACAAAGGATAAAAGCAGGTGAATGAAATGCTTTATCACCACACACACCTGGAAAGGAAGCACCCATAAATGTGAAAACATTTACTCGATAAACGACTCGCATAGGACGTCACATTTTCAAGAAAATGGCGATGCCCATGTCTTTTACTGAGAAACTGTACATTATTGTACCTCTCTCAAACACTTTGATGGGATTGTGTAGGATTAATACTATAGGCAAGAATACAATAAATCTCTCAGAATAATGAAAGTTATTTCTAGGGATGAGGTTTCCTTTAATATAAACGTTTGATATCAAGAATAAAGTACATTGCTGTAGTCGCTTCATGAAAAGATGCAAACAAAACAAACTTTATAGGCAACATTGTAACGATGCCAAAGCTTACGATGGTACTAGACTACTAGAGCATTGCTATTAGTATAGCTTATAATCAATCCGGGTAATTACAGGCACGTGATACGAGTTCGAATTATAAGAAATATTCGCATTAAAATCAATCTCGTATTACCGTAATGTGACCTGCTATGATACGACTTGTCTTCCTGTTTATGATTAAGATATAGCTACTGGTTCATATTCTGGCCTCTAATTATACACGATGGCCGCTGAAAGTGACAATTTCAGAATCATATAATTACGTAGGAATCATTGAACGGGTGTGTCTTATTGGTGATGTAACGGTAGCAATGAGTTCTTTTTAAAGCGATACTGAATATGTACAAATAAATTGATACAAAAATGCTTTTAATAATTTCTCAACAAAATTATACATGTCGTCAGATCGTGCTGATATTTCAAGTAGTCAGTCTTCTTTTGGTTTTCTTGCCGGAATTCCATTGGACGTTTTAATTTCTTCATCTTTTCATGGCCTCCTTGACAAAAGGTACATAATGATCAAAATGTGTGTGTATATTGTAATGTGATATAAAAGGTTTGCCCAAATATACGCAGACCTTATATAATTCCGTATTCGAATATTGGAATCACGCCAAATCATGTATCCTTCATCCAATGACGGATCAAGGGCGGGCGCATTGTGGCAAAGGCATCCACCCCTTTAACAAACAATTCAAGAAAAGATGGTAACCATAATTTTACCTTGAAGAAAAAAAGTAAAAAAGACGCCCCCCCCCCCCACCCCCTGGCGAAAAAAAAGAAAAATTTAAAAAAAGATGATACCCACAATTTTACCTTTTCTTTATTTTTTTATCAAGAGGGGGGGGGGGGGGGACGAGTATAAAAAAAAAATCCTCAATTGCCCCCCCCCCCTCCCGCCTATAAGGCGGCGCGCCTCGGGGGTCATGGCAAGATGTGCGCAAGTTTCCTTGAGCCTATGAAACAGCCAGGCCTCTCAAAGCAGTCAATATCTGTATATTATTTAATGTTCTCCTTTTGTTTAAATCAGATCTTCGTCTCCGTAATGGTTCGTCTCTGCACGAGGGAATCGTGGAGGAGTTCAGCTTGGAGTATACAGAATGGATTAACTTCTGCCTTGACGGGTTCGACGGACACGAAGCCCGGGTCGTGTGTCGGAATCTCGGATTCCCGGATGCCGCTTTCGCACTCAACACCGATTCGGTGTTCGGATCGGATACCAGTTCGTACTACGCAGTATCTCTAGATTGCGAAGGAAGTAAGTGTTTTGATAGTGTTTAATTTTGAATATTAGAAGAAGAGGGAAGAAGAAGCAGAAAAGCCAATCCTTTTTGTTGAGAATAAAATGAGAGTTTATAGAAATTCACTTGCATTATTGAAGCGTTCTACAGTCTTAACGTGTTGACGCAGAACACGGTATTACACAACACACACTTTTAGCCATGGTCGAATGGCTATGTTTGACGGGGTTCTACTCATATCGTTTTTTTAATTAACGTGATATTTATGTATGCTCGGAGAGAAATCGATTCGTTCACATAATTTTCTTTTGGAAGATAATTTTTGCCACCTTTGACTTTCAATATTTGACACTTCTACTAAATCATGACGAAAACAGCCCATTTAAACTTCACCCCACTTTGGACCCGAAAGTGGGGTGCATTTTGGTGGTAAGCTCACCACAGAGCAAGAGAGAGTTAGAGTCCCTAATCTGCAGTGTAAACAAACTTTGCCAGGACATCGCCAGCCCAACCTTGATAAGTACTGCTTGGAACTCCTCCATGATGTTCTAGTCTTATTCGCAGTCTCATATAGGTTCGGATTATGTCCATTCTCATAGTTACCGGTAGATGCCAGTTTCATCTTCCTTGCTTCACTTTATAAGCATAGTTATATCAGGAACTTCCTGGTTAAATTATGTTCCTTTCAAGTTTCATCATAATTGTCTAGTTCGATATAGTACATGGACACAATTAAATATGATATTGTCTAAAATTGTCAAAATATCTTAACATCAAAATGATTTCTGGTCATGTTTAACTATTTTAATTGAAGCCTTTTTACTTGATCTAATACTTTTATGAGGATGACATAGTCCGCAATAAACTTGACAAACATTATCATCCATACTATATGTCGTAGTTTATAACAATAATTACTCATGAACCTCACACTACAAGGACAACATTCATCCATATTCTGAGATTGCTCATTCTCACGAAGCTTGGTGTACGCGAAGATATCGGGAAAGAAAGCGGTCTGTAATACCAGACACGCAAGTGGGGTATTTCGGTCCCCGTTCACCGAAAAGTGAGATTCTCCATTTGAAAGTCGGGTAAGGTTGACAAATATAGCCTCTGTTAAAGGCGTTACTCCGCCACCAAGTCTATTCGCATAGACGAAATAAACTCGAACGCGTTTAGAAAAATGGTGTAGGCCTAGGCCTATAAGAAAAGGCCGGGAAAACATACATTTTGTTGGTTTGACCGTTAAATATTTTTGAGGTATTAAAGCAAGAATAGAATGTTGTAAGTATTGTTTTTGTTACATTTATTCCGTGCGTAATCTGAAGGTCTACTCAACTTTCTTTGCCTATTTCTTGCCCCCCCCCCCCCAAACGGCAGATCAAGGATTTGAAAATAGGGAGTGGCCGGGGCTCAGACGTCAAATTGGAAATGGGGGGGGGGGGGTGGTTGTTTAGGCAGACGGCATATTTCTTGGAATTCGTTATAAAGACGGTATTTAAAAAAAATGATGATTCTGGCAAGATAAGAATTGAATTTCATAAAACTTTTATTCGATTTAATATGATCTGTATCCGTATAGGATACAATATTTATTTCCCCACAACACATCAAGCCGTGATGATTGAATGTCCATTGCATGTAACACGAAAGAAACAGAAACTCTCAAATCTACAATCCTTTAGAAAGATAATAATTAGCTGAGTAATCATTTAGGGCATTACAAGACATCGAAGGACTTAATCTATTTTACAATAGTTGATGCAACCATAATGGAACATTATGCTTCTCGATACTGAGGATATGAAATTTCAGCACAAGAGTATTTGGTTTCAAAATTTTATAGCAGTTCGTTAAAGAAACATTTCGATGCTCACTTGTATAATAAATCTCTATGACAAGCTCATTTTTATCACGACAGTTAAACCTTTTCACTTTTTGATACTAAAGATTGTTGAAGAATTGCCTAATTGACTGCTCGGATGATTTTTTACCTTTCTCCGAAACCTCTTGGTTTTTTACTCATGATTATAGCGCATTATTCTTTTTGTCACTGTATGTATTAATAAGCAAATACATATCTGCACAACGAACATCTTTATGATTATGATGTCCTCGTTTCGTTGTATGTTATAAATTTAATATCATGACGAGAAGTGCGTCAAAAATATCTTAACATCAAAATGATTTCTGGTCATGTTTAACTATTTTAATTGAAGCCTTTTTACTTGACCTAATACTTTTATGAGGATGACATAGTCCGCAATAAACTTGACAAACATTATCATCCATACTATATGTCGTAGTTTATAACAATAATTACTCATGAACCTCACACTACAAGGACAACATTCATCCAGATTCTGAGATTGCTCATTCTCACGAAGCTTGGTGTACGCGAAGATATCGGGAAAGAAAGCGGTCTGTAATACCAGACACGCAAGTGGGGTATTTCGGTCCCCGTTCGCGAATATTTTTTTTACACGCTAGTCTGGCCAGTTTCGCCGTAATACTAGTAAAAGTGCGCTGGAGGTAAAGCCTACATATAGGCATGCACTAGGCCTACCGCAGTTTAACTTGATTGCTCTCTAGCTGAACGTTCGGTCGTTCGTGTCTCAAGCTTAGATCAAGATTAATGTAAAGTTCCTAAATTAAATTAAAATAGATTAAGTTTTTGAATTCCATCGCCCAATGGCTGAGATGGCCGTCTCATTTAAAAGGGCCAGCTATGTCTTTATCTGATGATTGTCATGCACGATGTACATGTTTATCATCATGCTCCTCGCATGTAGGCTGCTAGACTAATATTAGTCGTTTCAATGGTGTTTATCATAGAAATGGCCAGGCTAGCGTGTAAAAAAAAATTGCGCTCCCCGTTCACCGAAAAGTGAGATTCTCCATTTGAAAGTCGGGTAAGGTTGACAAATATAGCCTCTGTTAAAGGCGTTACTCCGCCACCAAATCTATTCGCATAGACGAAATAAACTCGAACGCGTCTAGAAAAATGGTGTAGGCCTAGGCCTATAAGAAAAGGCCGGGAAAACATACATTTTGTTGGTTTGACCGTTAAATATTTTTGAGGTATTAAAGCAAGAATAGAATGTTGTAAATATTGTTTTTGTTACATTTATTCCGTGCGTAATCTGAAGGTCTACTCAACTTTCTTTGCCTATTTCTTGCCCCCCCCCCAAACGGCAGATCAAGGATTTGAAAATAGGGAGTGGCCGGGGCTCAGACGTCAAATTTGAAATGGGGGGGGGGGGGGTGGTTGTTTAGGCAGACGGCATATTTCTTGGAATTCGTTATAAAGACGGTATTTAAAAAAAAATGATGATTCTGGCAAGATAAGAATTGAGTTTCATAAAACTTTTATTCGATTTAATATGATCTGTATCCGTATAGGATACAATATTTATTTCCCCACAACACATCAAGCCGTGATGATTGAATGTCCATTGCATGTAACACGAAAGAAACAGAAACTCTCAAATCTACAATCCTTTAGAAAGATAATAATTAGCTGAGTAATCATTTAGGGCATTACAAGACATCGAAGGACTTAATCTATTTTACAATAGTTGATGCTACCATAATGGAACATTATGCTTCTCAATACTGAGGATATGAAATTTCAGCACAAGAGTATTTGGTTTCAAAATTTTATAGCAGTTCGTTAAAGAAACATTTCGATGCTCACTTGTATAATAAATCTCTATGACAAGCTCATTTTTATCACGACAGTTAAACCTTTTCACTTTTTGATACTAAAGATTGTTGAAGAATTGCTTAATTGACTGCTCGGATGATTTTTTACCTTTCTCCGAAACCCTTGGTGTTTTACTCATGATTATAGCGCATTATTCTTTTTGTCACTGTATGTATTAATAAGCAAATACATATCTGCACAACGAACGTCTTTATGATTATGATGTCCTCGTTTCGTTGTATGTTATAAATTCAATATCATGACGAGAAGTGCGTCAAAAATATCTTAACATCAAAATGATTTCTGGTCATGTTTAACTATTTTAATTGAAGCCTTTTTACTTGATCTAATACTTTTATGAGGATGACGTAGTCCGCAATAAACTTGACAAACATTATCATCCATACTATATGTCGTAGTTTATAACAATAATTACTCATGAACCTCACACTACAAGGACAACATTCATCCAGATTCTGAGATTGCTCATTCTCACGAAGCTTGGTGTACGCGAAGATATCGGGAAAGAAAGCGGTCTGTAATACCAGACACGCAAGTGGGGTATTTTGGTCGCCGTTCCGTTCACCGAAAAGTGAGATTCTCCATTTGAAAGTCGGGTAAGGTCGACAAATATAGCCTCTGTTAAAGGCGTTACTCCGCCACCCAATTCGGAACAGCTTTCCACATGCAGTATCGTGAATGCGCCCGGCACTCTGAGTGGCCGTTTTTCAGTGTATTTTCTTTTAGTGTTCTTAAAAATTCGCCGTGTCGTTTGATCAAAGAGGTACTGGGCAAGCTTGCCTATTAATGATTTGGTCCAATACATAAGCCATCTAACCTTTATGTTTTAAGGTAATGATTATATTTATGCAGAAAACTAAAATACTTGTGACAGTGCGATTATTTCAAGTCGCCCTATTTAGGTTATCATGCAGCAACATGACCAATCAAAGTTTGGTCCAGTTAACGCTTGTTGGTTGGTAGTTTTTTTAAAGTTTATTTGTCCAATTAACTTCTTTATCTTCTCAATGTTTCCTTTCCATCTTTCCTTTCCGTCTTTCCTCATGTTTTTCACTATTATCACCTTTGTTCTATATACCTTTCGGCTGATATTATTCTTTATTTTTCTCCTTCTTTCAACATCTCTTTTCCAATTTTCATTATATATTTCTTTATTTTCTCCTAATTTTATCTTCTTTAGCCATCTTTCCTTATGCCCTTCTTTATTTTCTCCGTCTTTCTAATTTTCATCTTTCCTTATGTATTCCTCTATTTTCACCTTGTTTTATTCTCTCTATCTTTTCTCATGTATTTCTTTATTTCTAACCTTCATTATCTTCTGTTTCCATCTTTCCCTGTGTATTTCTTTTTAAACCTTCTTTTATCTTCCTTTTTCATCTTTCCTTATGTTATTCTTTATTTTCTCCTAATTTTATCTTTTTCATCTTTCCTTATGTATTCCTCTATTTTCACCTTGTTTTATTCTCTCTATCTTTTCTCATGTATTTCTTTTTTTTCTAACCTTCTTTATCTTCTGTTTCCATCTTTCCTTATGTATTTCTTTTTAAACTTTTTATCTTCCTTTTCCATCTTTTTATCTTCCTTTTCCATCTTTCCTTATGCTATTCTTTATTTTCTCTTCCTTCTTTCCCTCCATTTTCATCTTTCCTTATTATCACCCGTCTTTCCCTATTTTATCCTCCCTTTATATTTTCCTTCTGCATTTTTCCATTTCCAAGCGCATCAATGTTCTCTTCTATACGTAAAAGAAACTTAAATAGCTAGTACTTGCTAAAAAAAACAATATGAAGTGAGACTTTAGACACACTGAATCCAGGCCTATTATAAATATAGATGTAGGGTCTGCGATGAGAAGACTATGAATCTGGACTGGATATCAGATACCAGCTGGTAATCCCTTTATCAGTAACTAGGCTATGATTGACCACTGTCTCTCTCCCCATGGACCCTACTGGTAATCCCTTTATCAGTGGTCAGTGCTCCTATCAGATTATGGTAGCACCAGGAAAAGTGGTGAACTGGTGAGCAGAGCTCAAATGAGATGTTTTCCTAATGAATTCAAACCCTATATTATGTTGCTACAACTAAAACTGACAGAAAACAAAATTGCGAATTCCTTCACAGTATTGATGTCTGCTTATAATTAGACTATGATTGCCCATATCTTTGCCCGTCATATTTTTTCTTTCATATTGAAGAGATCAAAATAGCACTGTAATATAATGTTCCATGGTTTTCCAGACTGTCCGGATCAGCCTATCACATCTGACAGTTCTTTCTATTTCATTGACAGATATTATTTCTGTAATTAATTAGCCGATAATGATAATATTTAACTCAGACGCAAATAATATACATTAAAACACACAACATTACACACACACAAAAGGACGCAAGACCCGGTTTTCATTAACACGAAGCACCAATATAGCCGTAACTGAATCATTGTTGGAGGGATAGGTTGGGGATTCGTGGACCGGATTACTAATATCCGAGTTTAATCTCGTCTAATCATCTCGATAATTTATCCTATTTTGGTTGTAATTCTTCTTCAGCTGAGTCCAGGCTGGTGGATTGTAGCTATCAAGATTTATCTGATTGCGCAGTAGGATTCGGAGCTGCCGTCGTCTGCCAAAGTGAGTACTACAATGCAGTGTTTTTCAACTCACCCCACACATAGATTTACATGTAATATCTATATATGTTTTTGTATGTGTTTATTGTTTAATTAAAAAAAAAACTATTGTATTTTGATATTGTAGTTTTAAGCAGGGAATGATCCACGATAAACCTCTGTGGTTTTTTTTATCATCCCCTCTGCAGGTTCATCTTTTGTTGCAATGCTTTTATATTTGATTGTAATTTATACTGTCTTTTATGAATATGTGGAAATAAATGAAATTGAAATTCAACCCTTTTTTCAGTCACGTCACACTTTTATCAAAGATATAAATAGTTGCGCGGCAAAGTCCATTATCATCTCAAAAACATCGCTATTCATCACCCTGTCACTCGTCAAGTTACATGTCTACATAGGCGTATGAACACACTGCATAGGCGTATGAACGCACTACATAGGCGTATGAACACACTGCATAGGCGTATGAACGCACTACATAGGCGTATGAACACACTGCATAGGCGTATGAACACACTACATAGGCGTATGAACGCACTACATAGGCGTATGAACACACTGCATAGGCGTATGAACACACTACATAGGCGTATGAACACACTACATAGGCGTATGAACACACTACATAGGCGTATGAACACACTACATTGGCGTATGAACACACTACATAGGCGTATGAACACACTACATAGAACAGTATATCTTTTCAAAATGAACGAATTTTTGTTCACTTTTCGTCAAAATGTCATCAAACTGATTCCTTGATTTTTCTTTCACATCTCCACACACTACCACCCACATTTCTAACTTATCCTCATTAAACTGTGTTAACGAAGATAAATTTATCTTCATTTAACAGCTAAATGAGGATAAATTTATCTTCGTTTAACAGCTAAATGAGGATAAATTTATCTTCATTTAACAGCTAAACGAAGATAAATTTATCCTCATTTAACAGCTAAACGAAGATAAATTTATCTTCATTTAACAGCTAAACGAAGATAAATTTATCTTCATTTAACAGCTAAACGAAGATAAATTTATCTTCATTTAACAGCTAAATGAGGATAAATTTATCTTCATTTAACAGCTAAATGAGGATAAATTTATCTTCGTTTAACAGCTAAATGAGGATAAATTTATCTTCATTTAACAGCTAAACGAAGATAAATTTATCCTCATTTAACAGCTAAACGAAGATAAATTTATCTTCATTTAACAGCTAAACGAAGATAAATTTATCTTCATTTAACAGCTAAACGAAGATAAATTTATCTTCATTTAACAGCTAAACGAAGATAAATTTATCTTCATTTAACAGCTAAACGAAGATAAATTTATCCTCATTTAACAGCTAAACGAAGATAAATTTATCTTCATTTAACAGCTAAACGAAGATAAATTTATCCTCATTTAGCTGTTAAATGAAGATAAATTTAACCTCATTAAACTGTGTAAATGAAGCTACCGAAAAACGAAGGCGACCACGTACGGTGAACTCGTCTTCTTCTTCTTCGTCGTAGCCATTTCGAAGAAAATTCAAAACGCGTACGTTATAAAAGGAAAAATTAACAGATTATGGACAACGTAACCGCGAGTGACGATGTCGAATCGAAGAGTGATCTTAAATCTGGTGCTGGCCGCGCGTGTACCATAATATGTTGTTCGTGCCCAGACTTTGTATACTATTAGACAGAGCTCTAGCTGTTTACAAACAACGGACGCATTGCCCGCGCTCGGCTATTGTTCTCTTTGTTCTCTCTTTGGTTATAGCTAGTCTGCAGACACAGACCCTTGACAGCCATTATGAGTAAAAACAATGTCTAAATTTCAAACATGAAAGTACTGAGTTATGTCATGTAGCTGCTTCTGACACAGTGCAATACTGGAAAAGAAACATAACACCTTAAGCAGAATCTGATAGTCCTGATTATTTCATGTGGTTTTATTAAAGAGTAAAGTTGAGTCTGTGTTTACAGACTAGGTTTGAGATGGTGAATAGATAGAACTGATAATCCCCGTGCGACCGGCTAACGACGGTCTTGGGAGAATTTGGGTGTATCATCTCTCTGGTGTATCTGTACATGGGGGTAAATGGGTGTATCATAATCGTAACATGCAGACCTTTTAACAATCTATCAGGGTGGTTACTTAATTTGCAAAAATTCACCTTTCAGAAAGAAAACGTGCATTTTTGCTAAAAATAGAAGGCAAGACACAGGACGGGGCTGCTGGGCTAAATAGGCCTATATAAATTATAATGTTTAATAATTATTATCAGGGAACCAGCTGTGTGCCCGGCCGCAAAATATATGAGCAATAATATCTTTAAAAATGCAAATACATATATTTCACTTTGACTATTAAGAGCATGAATCGGAGGGAAAGTTGAAAACAAACGATATTATAGTGCTTGAAAATTTGACTTTTCTGACTTTCGCTGAATATCCGTGTCTAAAATTTGTAAACTTGGCAGCTAGAGTTCACTCAGTTCAGAATGGGCCTTTGAACAGCCGGCACACCGGCATACGGTCTGGATATGTAATTTCTTTCTTGTTCAAAATCCTAATCGATGTTTTGTGGATTTCATCGGGATGAGCCATTTTCTTTAGTTACAAACCCAAGCATGATATTATGATCGATGCCCAATAGGAAGTGCAACTAAATCGTTCGGGCAACCATGCCTATATTTAATAGAAAGTATAAACCAAATCTGAGTACACCTCCCCCCCCCCCCCTCCGGGTCCCCATCAGGGAACCTCATGAGCATTTCTTAGGTCAATAGGCTGTATATATAATAGTGGAGGTACTATGGAAATTGGAATAACACCCGACGGGGGCTGATCAAAGATTTCCCAACAATAATAATTATGAATAAGACGCCCTGAAATTTGAATGTCACGCAAATTCCAGGGATTAATTCCCTCCAATTTGCGCGAGCGGCCGCTTCCGAAGCAGAATTAAGTGACAATAATCATAAACAGTAATACTCCAGCTATCAGGGTGTGTACATCCACTAAGTCGCCAGTGGCGGATCCGGGGGCCCGCCTCCCCCGCCCCCCCCCCCCCCCCCCGGGGAAAAAAACGTGTAAAAACACGTTAATTTTACCTTTTTGGGGAGATGCCCCCCTCCCCCTGTCGCTCAAGTGGGGTGCACATTTTCAAATTTTAGAGGGTCCCCCAACAAAATGTGCTCACCTTTATACATCATGCATGCCCAAGTAGGAGTCGTCGGGCTGAGTTGTCCCTACATATGAGTTAGCCCGAATTATTATTTCCATTTACAGAGCCACTCCCTCCCCTCCAGCCCCCGATTATTATTATTTTTATTATTATCATAATCGTTAGTAGGGGTCTAGTAGTACTTGTCCGAGGGGCGGCGATCCGGGGGGGGGGGGGGGGCACGTTCCCCCTCAATTTTCTTTTAGAGGGGGGGGGGGGGGGTCGTTCCCGCCTGAAATTTTGAAAAAGTGCACACATGAAATGTATAGCAAATACTGACTAAAGACTGCAACACACTTTTAGGCTCTGGAGGGCCCAAGAATGCAGCGCTTAGACTCAATATTTGCTATTATAGCAAATAAGTCTAAACGCTGAATTCTGAGTCTAAACGCTGCATTCTTGGGCCCTCCAGAGCTTCTTGTGTGCACTTTTTCGAAATTGCCTGCGGGAGCGACCCCCCCCCCCCCGCCTCTAAAAGAAAATTGAGAGGGAACGCCCCCCCCCCCCCGACCACCGCCCCTTTGGACTCCTACTACTATTAAAATACTACTACTAGACCCCTTCTAATGGTTATAATAATAATAACAATAATAATAATAATCGGAAATCCCTGGAATTTGCGTGATTTTCACATTTCAAGGCGTCTTATTCATAATTATTATTGTTGGGAAATCTTTGATCAGCCCCCGTCTGGTGCTTTTCCAATTCCCATAGTACCTCCACTATTATATACAGCCCATTGACCTAAGAGATGTAACTCATGAGGTTCCGTGCTGGGGACCCGGAGGGGCCGGGGGGGGGGGGGGGGGGGACTCAGATTTGGTACAGACGGGGATGTACCGCTGAAGCCGCAAAACCCAACCCGACTCTTTAACTCTCTCTCTCTCTCTTTGGCTCTTTAACTCTGAAAATATTAATTATAAACCCACACTGAAGCAGAGATGAATACAAATTCACAAAAAGGTCAACCAGGGGCGCGTTGCGGTGGCAGCGATCACATGGACTCGGGGAAACATGAAGAAGTTTGGCGGATCCAGGGGCCGGACATTGACCAGCCCGCCGTGCCCCCCCCCCCCGGCCCCCCTGCCTCGACGAAAAATGCTCATAGAAAATGTGTCAATCTTTCTTGGGCCGCCATTCGTGCCCCCATCCTTTGCTGCATGAATAAAAAAAATTCCTAAAATCATGATAGCCTTGGTACAACAAAATGAAATGTGTATTAAGGCCTACGACGGGGGCGGGCGGGGGCCGCTGACGTAGCCAAACCCAAAACCCCATACCTATTATTATACGGCCATTTTTGCGTTTTTTATAATTATTTGTTTAAAATGTGTAGTAATTTAGCGTCAAAATAGGCGGAAATGGCATATCCTGTATGAACAGTAAACTTGAAAACTATATTGGCCTATACCCATCAGAATTTGCAAGGAATCTCATGCAAAGTTGTGTGTCTCGGTATACGTTCTATGACATGCTCGTCAACTTCAAGGGGACTTGTGACCCATAACAATTATGGGCTTATATAGATTTTGAATGAAACCAAATGGGTGTTTAATTTTTTTTTTTTTACTATTATGAATGATATAGGCCTACTATATTATTTACCAACAATCATGTGAAGTTCATAATATCGAATGCATTCTATAGGAGGAGTATATAGGCCTATCTTCGGTTAGGTGCCATGTCTTTACATGTTCGTACATAATTGCAGTTGGTTTATACTTTAGGCATGGTTTTCCGAACGATTTAGTTGCACTTCTTATGGGGCATCGATCA